GGTATTTTCACAAGAACATTTGACTGATTAAATATTCAATAGAATTAAAATTAAACAATATAGAACTGACTGTTCTTATCTTGTATGTCACACAGAGACAAACACGTTTGTGCCTGAATTTGTATACGTATATTTTGCGTCCATCAATTTTTTAAAATAATTTACTTTCAATCAAACAATTTTTGCTAATTAACTAATTAAAATAAGTATAATTGGACGTTATGTTTTAATTACTGTTTTAAAAAAAATTTGAGAATGCATTTAACATTGTTGTTCATAATCTGAACATATAAATGTAGAACGAATTATCAGATTTTATTTTATAATCTTAAGCGTGTTGATACTTGTTGAGCTTACAGAATTACACATTACGAACACTCTATATGTGTTTGTGGTGAATAAATTAAAACGTATTATTCAAAAACGTTATCAAATCATGAGTGGATACAGTCTCATTGATGGAATAGCTACAGCATGACCTACGTAGTCGAGAAAAAAATCTAACACTTAATATTCAACAATAAATCGAACGTATCCACTATGTATTAGTTATAGGTGCATCGATAATAATAAATATGGATTCGACAAGTTTTCACGACACATTGTCTATAGCGTATACACGTACACAGTGAAATTGATGCCACGCGTATTCGGAACAGGGATTGCGAAACGATAGTTTTTCAAATAGGCAGTAAAATGCAAAGTAAAAAAAGGAAAAAATTATTTTCTATAATAGTATTATATTACGCACGTGGCATATATACGTACAACGCGATATTTTTATATAAATAAATATTGTATGTATATACGAGTGTGTATAGTCATCTATCAAGATTAAACACGTCCCGTTGGAGGAATAGGACAAGTCGAAGGGGCGAGAGAAGGCAAAAACGACGAAGGGAGGTGCAGTAGTAGTGTGTATTTAATTTTTGGAACTCGACGGTTTTTCGAGTGTCATCAAAATAGCGAATTGATTATTCGCCAAGCAGCAGACCCTCTGGCGCCCGGCCAACCGCCACCACCGCTGCCCGTCGACGGTTCCATGTTGCCGTGACGAGGGGAAAGGGGAGAGGAAACGATCGTGCGGTGCACAGTTGAACTTTTTCAATTTATTTCAACGCATACGGAATTCGGTTAATTAATATTATTTTTTTTTTAATTATTTTTTTTTTTTTTTTTTTTTGTTTTATTGAAAATAATAAAATATACGTATAACAATAATTCTAGGCCAATACAAATTTGAAAACTACTAAAAACCGTGTGTTCACAATAGTACTGCGTACTTGTAACGTAGTTTGAATATTTTCGTGAAATCTGAATATTTCTTTTCCCTTCCTCAGACATTGCAATGATCATAATTTAACTGCCATAACGAATAATAATGGAATCAAAAAGATTACATTTAAAATTCAAAACAGAGTTTTCAATTATTTTATTTAAAATAAATAATATTGCTTATTAGGCGGGTTATACCATAGCGGTAGTGGAATTTTTTTCCATAATAAATATTTTAATAATTTTAATACTTGCAACCACTGTGTTCTTAATTATGATTTTTCCGACATTCATTTGTATCAATACATTTTGTAAAAAATATTAATTATTTTTCATAGAAAAACGGTATTTGAGAACTTTGACTAACGTAGTTTTTGTTTGAGAACAAACTCGCTCTGTTACTCATAAGTATGGAAATCAAGTATTTCATTAAATTATTCATGACCGTTTTCGTTTAAATTGGTTTTTATCCGTAATTTATATCTATGAGCTCATATAAAATAAGCAGTTGATTGTATTACGATAACGTAAAACAAATTTCCACTGCAGGACTATGTTTCATTAGTAATCACAACAATCTTAAACATCTATGAAAACATAAAGTTCACTCTTTCCAATATTTCAATATAAGGGATATGTCGTACATGTCATCATTGAAGAATGAGACATCTTATGCACAACTGAGAAATTACTCCTGACCCAGAATGTGACTGCGGTGCTGCCAACCAAAGTTTAATCATATTAGACGAGAGTGCCCAAAAAGAAAGTTCAACGAGAAGTTCGAATATATTCTCAATGTAACCTCGAAACTAAAAGAAAGGAAAATAAAGAATAAGACTAGCACTAAAATTTAGTATTTTCAGCAAATTCCATAGATATATTTCGTGTGCGTCAGGGTAAACGCAACTTATTAAACAACCATAAAGCGAAACTAAATAGTGTGACGAAAAACTAACGAAACGAAATCGACCTCGTGCAGCGAGTGGTTAGAAAACTTTTAATTAATTAAACCAGCGTGAATCGGAAATCTATATATGACCTAGGCAGTGATTTCCCAAAGTTAAAATAATGTTTTTGAAGAGTCAAGAAAACTTTTGCGAAACTACGAGGCGCTAATCACACCACGGATACCGCCACAGCCACCACGCTCACCCGTGGTGCGCCGATAAAACACGTGATTACCGTGTGATTTGGATTGAAAACACAAAATATGATTATTATTAACCATCGGTTCGTGTAAAAACTTCGCGGTGGTGTAAAGACCATATATACGTCAAAAATACGCACCGCGTTTATATATTGACAAATATAGTACGTCGGACTCGAGCCAAACTGTTGGCCAAGGTTCCGCTGTTTTGAAACTAATTTTTGAACTTTAAATCTTTAACGCTGGCCAACGCCATCGCCGTCTCTATATCACCAGCACTATACATTTAACTACAACAAACAGTTCTACCACTACTACTTCCACTGTACTCTTACGGCTATCGGTAACGCTGCAGTACGTTAACATCGTCATTATCACTAACTTCACCGTCACCGACATCATCACCACGGCAGCGGGTGAGAAGGACGCAGGTCGGATGGCTTTATGGATTTCAGATAAATCATATTTGGCACGTAGTGCCGTGACGGCGGCGTGTGACGATGTTGACGTGGTGGGGGGGATGGCGGGTTTGTGTGAGGGATGACGGAATTTGAACAAGGGGCACGAGGAAGGGATAAAAGGGTTTACAATCGGCCGAACATTATAATAAATTTCGGGTTTTAATAAATGCGAGAGAGAGGTGGTGGCGTGAAAGTTATTGGAAGGAGACCAAGAATGGCGCCATATTTTACTAAAGAACGTCAATCGCAGGTGTCGGAGGGCAGGGGTATGCGTGTGTAACAGACGTGCCGGCTTCAATTTGCCTTATAATAATATTTTGCTTTTATTATTATTTTATTTTTCTTATTACAAAACTTGACACTTAATTTTCATTCACAGCTCTAGTTTTACAACTTTCACTCGTTTAGTATCTCAACATATTCCTTGCCTACAAGCTACCGCATTGCTGTGCAATTGACGGCAGCGGCGCGCGACAATGTCGATGACGTGTTTCACCTTTTTCAAAAGAAATCCGTTCTGATCGAATTATTTGAGCGGTATTTTATAATATTTATTCCGTGCTGACAAATATAAAACCCCAACCGTTTTGTACAATGTAATTCACATTTTATCCGCATAGAAAATTAAACAATTAAATAATCCAATGTATTCACTGAGCCAACCCAATATCAATAAACTATTTATTTAAAGCATTTATATTACAACATTCTGTAAACGTTTTTCAACAAACTGCATACACTCAAAATATAACCAATACACATTTATTGAAATCAATACTATGAATTGTGTACATCAAAATAAGAATAATCAAAGATATCAGCCAGTTGGCCATTGTGTATAGTTTTTACGAAATAAATATTTATAATTATGAATCGAGATCAATAAAGTAAATTTCTTTACTTATTTCCTATTTATATTAAATTTTTAACTATTTTTATTTGATTTATCAATAGATTATTTATATATTTTAATAACATCAGTTTAAAATTCCTCAACTAGATTAATTAAAAATCAATTCGAGTGTACATTAAAATTCAATACAATTTTAAAATGTTTAATTTAATCAGCTAATAGTATAAAAAAAAAAAATAATAAATACTATGAACTGCACATACTCATATATATATATATTATAGGTATTTTTTTTGCTAAAATTTATTTTTCAATTATTAAATTTAAATATTTTAAAACTCATGTAAGGAAAAAACTATTAAATTCGATAGTGCCACAAAATAAAAAATGTAATTAAATTTGATCAAAAGAATTCAATGAGTCAGAAATAAATTTTACATGTAATTAAATACACTAGAATTCCTCGACTAATGTATGTCAAATAATAAAATACGATTTCTCTGTATTTGTGATTAGTAACTTTTTTGTTGGCTTATGACCACGAATACATTATTCAAATACAATGATCTTAAATATGTTAGAGTTCATATTCAATAAACAATAGTCAATGAATTTTTTGGTTTAGAAAAATACAATTCAAAATAAAAGAACTTTTAGATTTTGAATAAAACGATAAATTCATTGAATTAATTTAAATGAATTTGTTTTGGTTTATTTGTTATTATTTTCAAAAATATCACAATATGACAAATGGAATATTTTAATTTACAACTATCATAAAAATGAATATACAATATTAATAAATGATGTATCATTATTAAAGAATACTACAAATAAACTAATTCGAAAATATCCTAGTACTAAGTTTTCTGTTAAATTCTGGAATCAAGAAAAACTTATATCCATATAATGTTGTAAGCTGAAAACTACGTCGTTTTACAGGTACAATTTTCTAAATTGTGCTGTACAAGTAAAATAAATCAAGAAATAAAGAATATGAGAAGAAACTGAATTGAATGTGAAACAGTATAGTTTAAGTGCATTATTTTTAAAATTCTTCTTAAAAATGCCAGATATATCACACTATACTTTACAATTTCTTATTAAATAAGTAATTAATAATTGTAATATAACCAAACTAGCAATTTTAAAAAAGTTATTATTCTTATTATTCTTCTAGTAATAATACATTTATAAGTGTATAAAAAACATAAATACTATCTATAATAATATAACAATCAAGATTATACTTTAAAATACTTACGATTATGTATTCTGAATGCAGATTCTTTGTTATTATTGTTATTTAAAATGGGATCGTCTAAAATACTGGAATCCCGTTCAATTGCTTCTTCCTTAATAACTTTTGGTTCCATCGACTGAAAAATTAACAATCATTTGAATATTCAAATTTAACATAATACAATAAAATACAACAAAAGCTTTATGTATAATATACCAAACATTTTATGTCATAAAATGATTTTTTAACTTAATTTTATAGTTCGAAGAATATACCAAACATTTATTACATTAATTCTTCAAAACTAAGACATATCGAATTCGTTATTTCCCAAAGAGTGTGCCGTATCGATGATAAACATAGCAACATTTCTTGTTCAACTGATAAAAATCTTTCACGTTTCTTATTTTTAATATTTGTTATTATGAAAAACCCAAGTTCACAGAGGTATGTTATAGAAAATGGTAATAATTTATTTATTGCAATTTCTGTAATTATCGGATACTCTGTTTTAATAAAACTCCAAAACTGGAATAGTTCATTAAATTTTAATTTCAATGAACGATCAGAATGAAGTTCTTAAAGTTATTCTTGTTCAACTAATCCTAGATGTCATATTACATCTGATATTACTTCAAAAGGATTGCGTACCCAATCATATTCATTAATAGGCAAAAATGGGAAGTATTTTTTCATTTTTTCTTTTAAAATTATGAGATGATTTATTATCAAATCAGATATTACTCTTCATCTGGATCAACATCTGCTGTTAATGGAAACATTTGCAGTTTTTTTTTCTACGTGTGATATCCAAAGATTAATTGTTCGTAAAAACTCATTTAATTTATCAGACGATGTTAATATGCTTATCAATTTACCTTGCATATTGGAATTAAGGATATTTAAATATTTAAAAATTTCAGCTAGATAAGCAAACTTTGTAGACCATAATGGATTATTTAAATGAGTTTCGAAATCGCTGTTTGAGTCTTCATTATTGAACAATTGCAACAATTCATTTTTCATTTCATAAAATCTGTTAAAAACCTTACCTTCTGATAACCATCGAATTTCAGTAAATAATCTTGTCGTGGTGTGCTTTAAATGTGGTTTAACTACTTTATACAACCGAAGGAATTATCATTTAATATTGAAAGGAAAAATATGTATAATGTGCTGTGATATATATATATATATTCAAGACAGCTATCAAGAGATAATATTATTACCTAATAACGATAATAATACCCTGCATTATTATATACGTATTATTCGATAAGTAGATAATATTTATCCAAAGTGTGCCGTTACTTATAATAACTAATAATAATGTGCCGCGATGGGAAAAATTTGGGAATCGCTGAGTTAGATACATGTGTTAAATCTGTAATATGTGTGAGACCAAGCAAAAGTACTCTGACAAACATTCATAATATTAGAGATAGATTTATGAGATGGCATATTATATAAATATGTCTCATATTCATATATATTAAGTATAAGAATTTTAAAGCTTTTATACTTAAAATTTAATTTTGGATAATATGACTTGAAAATTTGGTGAGTTTTAATTACAGATCTAGAATAAGGTTGTTATAAAAAAAATCATTATTTTACTAAGAACTTATAAAAATAAGACACTATATGGCGAAAGTCATTAGAGATAATTCATAAATATTAAAAAATTAAAATAACAATTATTCAACGTAAATTTTTTTTTATGTAATAATTAGGGTGTTGAAAATCTTTACTAGAATTTATGTTTGAGATCATTTAGTGATTTTTAATACCTAAATTTAGAAATCGATGAAAGGGAAAATCTGATATTTTCAAAACTACTAATGCAAAAAATGACCAATCTCGAAAGAAATTTTATTCAGTCAAGTACATTAGATTTTAATTTATTCATTGCTAAATCCAATATGATCCAGCGTGATTCAAAACAGTTGATCTAATCTAACATTTATACAAGAGTTTCTTGGGACTTTTATTGAAACACAACGGTGATTAATAAAATTGAAAACATTACGGAAGTTGGTAGACATTTAAACTACTAAGACTAAGTAGTGACTAAATATGACTAACTATCTTTAAATGTATTATCAACATAACTACTAAATGTTAAGTTATATATTGCATTGAAAAAACTGAAAAAACAAAAACCATATTAAACATCCATTTAAATACAATTTACCTAATCAAAAATAAATTTAGACAGTTTGGAAAAGTATGGAAGTATAAAAATCTACAATCAACACTGTTATCCTACCATAAGAAATTATATTATCAGTTTGTTAAATATAAGTTAAACTAAGTTTAAATATATTCAAGGAAAACTTGCAAAACATACAATATCGTTTTATTTATCGTTCGATTAAAATCTTTATGTTTTTTTGTTATATGTCACTTCTTGATAAAATAATTCATACTTGTAATTTATAAATCACATTTAATTATGTACAAATTGTGGCTATGTTTATTTTCTCACTACAAAATTATTGTCATTTGTAATTGGCTTATGGTTAATTAATAAATAATATCTGTGTTTAATATTTAAGAATTATATAGAATCTTAATTTACGTTTATGCTAAATTCTTTCTATCAGTTTAATAATCAATAAAATAAAATATTAATTCACCCGAATAATTCATTCCATATAATTATAAAAAATCAAATAAGATTCAAATTTAAAATATTTATGTTTTATTTCCAATAAGTATACCGGTAGGATAAAAACAAATTCAACAACGCATAAATACTTCATAAAAAAGTACCTTACATGTTTGTTAAAAGATCAAAGAATATCGAAAACATAACATGATATTTCAAATTTCAATCAAGTGAAAATTCAATTAACGTACACAAGTAAAGCGTGTCAACTTCAGATAAAATGTTTGTAAACGTCAAATAACAAATTCTAAATATTTATACATTTATTTTTTCGTGGTAAACTGATATCAATCTATGCAGAATTTAATTTATTTTGAGTATTTCAAAATTTAAAAACGTGTTACTTTCAATTTTCTATTAAAATACCATATATAAAGTATATGATATATGATATACTATGTATGATATTTTTAATGTTTCATAAGATTGTAAAAGCGATACAAAATTATTTTGGACATACTACAATATATTACTAATTAACTTTATGTATTCATTAAATATTGATTTTACTGATAGAAACGTAGAAGCTATTTGTAATTCGTTAAATTTAAAATAACTATAACGATAAAAAAATTGTGCTAAAACAGTTAAAATTTAACCACTTAATATATTTATATATTATTATTAATATTACACAAATAACGATGAATAATTTTAGCAGACCAATTGGGACGATTTTAATAGTGTAATAGCACACATCAACCCTCGATCCCAATTATATCCCTGGTATTGGAACGTACATAAACAGTTTAAACCATTTATACGAATGATAAAAATGGGTCAGATTGGCTTTTTACATTTTTGAACAAAAACATAACACTATTAAATACATTTATTATTCAATTAAATTATAGTTTGATTCTGCTGGCTTAAAACAAAAATTAACTTTGTGTTTTGTTATTCTGTTACTGTCAAGTTTCCTTCACTCCTATTTGAGACATCCTCAACGCAACACAAAATTGATACGAACGTTCAGCTATTTTAGTGAAAATTAAATTTGAATCTACAATGGCAAATTATAATAAGAATTTGTATATAAGTACGTATGATTTAAAACCGCATAGCTTTACATGTTAAGTATATAATATTTATTTAAATGTATGTATTTGATACTTATATTTTTGCTCTAGGCATTCAACCACCCCAAGGGGTAAAAAGGAAGCTAAAAAATGATTCACTGAATCAAGTAAGTATCAAAAAAATTACCCCCTCAAATATATGAAAAATTATACTATTCTTCATTAAATGTATTCATTAAGTATATAAGTTTCAATTGAAAACTGTGAAATATGTATATTATAATCAGTATTATATTGGATTCCTTATTTTTATGTTAAGTTCGTTAACAATTAATGTATATGAAACGTGCCGGATAATTGTTTGTTAAAAAAAAATACCGATTGCATGTTTTTACTTTCAGAAAAAAATAAAAAAAATTAAATCATGCATCAATCGGTACGAAGATCATGATTCTATCACTAGGGCGTACAGTAAGTATAATTTTAATATTTATCAAAACTTTTGATAAAAGTATAACAAATTATAATCAACTTTTTTAATTTAAAATAATTAATGTTTCATTATAACTATTGTAATTCACTATAAAATTTCATTAGATTGATACCTATAAAATATTAACGAATTTTTTTTTTACTATCTTATTTTATTTTATAGATGAGATAAGTGGCAAAAGGATCGGTATCAAAAGAAAATTTGATACCGAAACAAAAAATATAAAAAAAAAATCCGACACAATAGGTAAATACAACTTATTAATGAATATCGTAAAACAAATGTTAGCTAATTTTTTTAAAAAGAACTTGATAAATTAGATAAACATCAGAAATTTAAACAATAATGAAATGTAAATAATAAGTAGTAATATTAGTATTTTTTTATTTAGAAAATACATTATGGAAAATTGAACATCTTATGAAGAGACTTAAAATATGATTAATATTTCCTTTTTTGTTAACTTTTTTATGTATATGTTATGTTGTTGTATACGTTGTTATCTTGTTGTTATGTTAATTGTTTTTATGTTACACATAAAACACTAACACTTACACCTACACTTTTATTTATTTATTTTTTTTTTTTTTTTATATGTTTTTGGTATTATTTATATATTACTATTGTATATTTTGTAATATTATATATTGTATATTTAAAGTTAAATAAAGTTTGTTAAAAATGTAACTTACAAATTGCTATATTACATTTAATTTAGTTTATTTAAAATGATAAATATGAAAATTCAAATTAAATCTATGTTTACAATAATTTCTATAAGTCACCCTTAAACAAGTTTCCCTGCGCAAGTGAAGTAAAAAATTACAATGTACCTTTAAAATATATTCGTTATTAAAATGTGAACGTGTTATATTTCCGATAAAAATAAAAATTTGAAGTGAAAATATTGTTGGTGACATTGAAATATTGATACACACGTATAAATGGCAAAA